GGGGCGGGGAGGGGACACCGATCAAAGGTGAAAAAAGAAGAGGCCCCGCGGCTCCTGGCGGAGAAACCCGGTGGAGAAGGCTGCGGGTGGGCGCGGATCCCAGGTCCCGGGAGCGCTCCAGGGGCAGCGTGTCAGCTGTCCGCCGTGGGATGCTCCCAGGGATGGAGTCGCCCAGGCTGGAGGCGCCCACTGTCAGGAGTGACCCCGGTTTGCGGGGTGTCGGGTCAGGTGTGGGCTGCGTGCTTCGGGCCGCGAGACCGGGGACCGGTTCCTCTGCGCAGGTGCCCGCCGGCGACTTACCGGAGCTGTGGGATCCCTGGGGCGTCGGGCGCCGCGGGAAAATCCTGGTCGCTCGCGTCCAGACCCTGGGAACCGCCCCAGCCTCCACGCCGGGGTGACCTTCGACTCCAGCGACCCAGGGCGGCGGTGGTGCCACCTGCAGAGTCAGGAGTTGGCGCGCCCCTCCCGCTTTTGCGCACCCTGGAGGCCGCCAGGCGCAACAGCCAGACTAGCTGGAGGAGCCAGGGCACCTGGACCCCAGCGCCCTGTCCTCATTTAAGAGGAAGAGGCTGGGGGAGGATCGGAGAGAGGAAGTGTTACCCGCAGCCTCCCCAGGAACCTGGCTGAGATCCTCCCCCCCACCCCACCCCCGCCTCCCCAGGACCGGTTTCCTCCCGCCTGAGAAATAGACAAATGATGGGGAAAAATGAAATTTATGTAGTTTGCTCAAACTGGGAGGAAGCGGCTAGACGGCTTCTCCTCCAGCCTCACAAAAACGGTTCCATGTAAAGAAACAAAATCCAGGCCATACACATGTGTAGATGAGTTAGAAAACGCATCAGTCACAATTTCCTGGGCATTTGGCCTCAGATTGAGGGAGTTTTAATTCTGAGTAAGGAAATCCAGGAGCTCTCTGTTTCAGAAGGACAACAGAGAAGTCCCCAAGCCACTGAAGGAACTCAGGTCAAACTCCAGGCATTGCCTGGCATGAGGGATGGGGATTCCCTACTGGGGAGTAATCTAGAGGGGTGCAGAGTTGTTGACTTAAGATTTGAAATTGTTCAAAAGAAAGGAGGCCAGAGGAGAATAGGGCTTCTAGATACCTGTGGTATCCACAATATATAAATAATGTCTATACATCCACCATATAAAAAGAATCAGCATAATTTAAATAGGGCAAAGATTTTACCTTCACTGAATAAGATACACTTGTGACCAATAAGAGCATGCAAAAGATGTAACACCATTAATTGTCAGAGAACTGCAAAAGTAAGACCACAGTGAGATTCATTAACCACTAAAATACCCATCACTGGTGAGGCACCAGAGCACCAGAGCTCACATTCACTAGAGGAAATTTTAAATGCAATGATTAGTTGGCAAAGCAATTTGTCAGTTTCTTAAAAAGTTAAACATACAATTACCCTGTCATTGCTTCTAAGTACTAAACAAAAAGAAGTTAAAAAAAAAATATGCCCACAAGAATGTCCATGGGAACCATATTATAATAGCCATTAATGGGAAAGAGCCCATCAAGTCTCTCAACAAGAAAATGACTAAGCAAACTCTTATGTAGCTATACAACGGAACACTGCTCAGCAATATAAAGAAACAAACTATTAACTGATGCAAAATATGGATAAATCTTTTAAAAAATGTTATGTTATAGAAGAAGCCAGACCAAACATCACATAAGCGTGTTGATATGAATGTCGAGGTCTGACAAGTGTGAACGTTGTTTACCTCAGGGGAAGGAAAGGAATGGACTGAGAAATGTCGAAATGAAACTTCCTGGAGTGACAAGCATTTCTGTTCTGTTCTGGGTGGTAACCACACAAGTGTGGTTCAGCTGTCAAAACTCACTGACCTGAATACTTAGGGTATTTGTTTTATGAGCACAAACTTGACTCAATTAAAAACAATTCTTTATGTTTTTTATAATCCACAGACATTTTCACCACAATCAGATAGTTGACACCCAATCAGTTTGGGCTGAATTTCTTTTATTTATGCTACTTTGTGTGAATCTACGAGTCCTGTCACACAGAGCAAGAAACTGACTGAGGTTACAGGTGGTGCTGGCAGGAGAATCCAGGTATCCAGCAGGTTCCTGACCTCCCTGTGAGCAGGCAACTTGGAATTAGGAGCCCCTGGAACGAAGAAAACCCTTAGGGGTCATTTTTTCTATCTTCTCATTTTGTCAGCTGCAGAAACTGAGCCCCAAAGAGCTTAGGTGACTTGGGAAATGGTGTGTAAATTTAGGAAAGTGTATGAGAAAGAAAAGAACTCAGCAATATCAACTTCCCTGAAGCCAGCCCTATCTGGGATCTCTGAATTGCTTTCTCTTCCCACCAAGTTTCCACAGTAGGCTTCCAGCTCCGTAAGAACAGGCACAGAGGGTGCTTACCTCCTTTCTCAGCCTTCCTTTCTCGTCCTTCCCAAGGAGGTGCTCTGCACACATACAGAAAATGTCAATATTTGTTGAATGCTTGCAAAGGAGCTCATTGCCGGAGTCCGGCTGCAGCAAAATAGGGGGGGGGGGG